CAATCACCTCCTACATTTTCCCTTCTTTTGCATAAGAAAATTTACTACATAAATTGCTATTGCAGTGCACAAAGATATATAAGAGCATATTTATATTTCATTAACAAAGAAATAAATATTAAACAGGAAGATGCCTTCTTCAACTGATTTGGCAAATATTAAAATGTTTAATAGCACAAAAAGTTGGCTAGGGTTTGGGAAGCAAGGCATTTGCATAGGCTGTTAGTAGAAACAGGAAAATCAAGGAAGAGGAGAAACATATTTCTCATTGTATAACCTTCTGTTTGATTTTTTAAAAAATGATATTTTCATTTTTTTACTTTAATGTTAAAACAAGTATAATTTATTAGTAAATGCCAGCAATTTTTAAGCTTCAGAAATATTCTTAGTATACCTTGTTAAAGTTGAAACTTAGATAAATCAAATAAATAGGGTTAAACAAAGTTCGATCACCTTTTAATAAAGAGCCGCCTTCTAGAAGTCCTGCTTTGGCAGCAGTCAAAGCCTGTGTGATGAAAATCGTCCCATCTTCACAGCCACATACTAGTTTATCAAGATTTGGAACATACTCTGATGAAGTGACTACCACAGCTCCAGCTCCGTCTTTAAACCCAGAGAAGTAATCAATAATACTTTGTGACATGATATGATGCTTATCAAAGTTATCTTGAAGGGTCCAGGTGGTAGTTATTGGTATCTCTGAAGTGAAGACAAACATAGATGAAAAAATGGTTTATATAGTCATCATAAATTTGGAAAATATCATCAAGGCACCATCCCTTGGGGATACCTAGAGACTTTTGCCATCCCTACAGTGGGCTGTAGGCAGGAAAGTTCTCCTATCATCTGCCATCCTCACTCACAAAGGAAACTTTATTGGTTCTCTGTCCTTCAAGGAGCCTTGAAAGAATCAATGTGTATTCATGTGTTCATTTTAGACTTAGGTCAACTGACAAGATCCGAGAAACTCTTGCAGTGATGTAAAATGTTAGACCACTCTCATGAGTTCTCTGCTTGCCTTGCCAATGTTAAGAAGGTAAATTGGGGTCTTTTATTGTCTGAGGTAAAATGGAAGAAATTTATTCTTTAAATGTCAAGGACAGGAATATCTCAAGATCATACCATAACCCCAGGCAACTGTCTATGGCTACCAAGCACACTGGTCACCATTTTATACGTAGCTGACCACCCAAGCACTTGAACTGGGCCTCAGGTCAGCTCAGGAAGTGAGAGAGGGTGGGCCTCCAGGAGCATGGAAGGCAAAGTAAAGCTAACCTACTTCTCTATGAAAAGGTCTCCTTGACCTTACAGTACACCTGCTACAGCGACTGTGAACACCGTGACCCCTACGGCTTAGACCAGCACCAGGAATGGTCATGAATATCTCTGGTTCTAATTATAAAGAAGGTTGACTAGACATTTAATTCTGCTACTGTAACAAGAACGGATATGAGAAAATCCTAGGGTCGCCAACCATCAAGCGGCTTCGCAGTGGGTATGGTATACTTTTTGAACTCTTAAGACTGGCTCGTAAGAGATTATACTTTTTTAACTCTTAAGACTGGCTTGTAAGAGATTTTTTCACATACTACACCAAGCACTAAGTCTATCTCTTGATCAATTTGTTATTAATCTAGGTGTAAATGAACCATTTTGAAAACATTTGGAACAAGGACACTAAAAGTGCTACCAGTGAAATTATCTACTAATGGAAACTTGAACTTATTATAAGGAACCCTGATCCTGCTGCGTCCCACACAAGGGTTCACAGAGGTGACACACTGATTTTGGAATAAGGAGAAATGAGTAAGATGGGGTTCCCCAATCTAGAACACATACTCTCAGAAGTTTGAATTTTTTCCACAACGTTTACTTTGATGATTTCAGTTTTTTATTCTAAGGAAAATTAAAATGAGCAAAAGCTAAATCATCTAATCATTCGAATTGCCAAATGTTTTAGTGCCCATGTTTACCACATTTTTCCATGTATGATGCACACTTTTTTGCCCGCATTTCTGAGGGAAAAATAAAGATGCATGTTATTCATGGGGAGTACCTGAAACACCTTGTATCTGTTCTTGTGTTTTGTAATTATTTGTTCCATAAAATGTCTTGTACCATATGTTCAATAATAAATGCAAAATTCCTCCATAATACAAAAAACAAGTATCTAATTATAGATAAATAAAAATGGAATTAAAAATTAAAACAAAAGATTTTCTTTCTGAAAGTTTGGGCCAAAAACATGGGTGTACATTATGCACAGCAAAATACAATATATCTGCGCTTGCTGTTCCAAGCAGCTGTGATAAACCCAACAGAGAAATTGGTTAAAAAATGGTACAGTATAGGGACATGGCAAAATAAAAAATTTGTATATGATGTGTCAGCCTACCCTATATTGCTATTGCTGCATTCATTTTACTTCAGTAAAACATCACTCATGTTAAATTAATGTTATTTTGTATTATATTGGTTGTGTTGTATAAGATCTATAAGCGATTTATGTTGGAATCTAATGCATAGTAGTACATGAGAAAACTTTTCTTTTTTGTAGCCCATGTGACTCAACTTAGAAGAACATGGAGTTAGTTATAAACGAGTTCTCAGGACACATGGGATTATCAGTGAAGACCATCTTACCTCTAGGAGAGCCATCAAACTTGGATACAGGAACATCAGGTATGTGCCACAGAGTAACTCTGCCTGAGACTTCTCCAGAGAAAAGTACCTTATAAAAAGGCTCTTTCCTTTCATTCATATAGCCCATCACAAAGGGAAGGCTCTGGTTTGAAACAAAAAAATTAGTTCTTATGAAGGAAAATATCTAAGTTTAAAATGTTAGTTACCGTTTTTAAGTGGAGAAACAAAACTTCATAGATGAACTAAATTGTTTCCATTTATCTCTCACTGTTTAAAACTTTTCAAGTTCTTATAATCTCTTATTCAAAAAAGGTTTGTATGAAAGAAAAAGAAATGTCATCCACCAGACTTCAGAGAGTTCATAAGGGTATCTAACATTCATCGAACATGTTCTGTATATGTATCATCTACACTGTCAGGGACTCTGCATATATTCAGTTAAATGATCTGCCTGACCAGCCCTGTGAAGTGAGTGATATCCCTCCACAGATGCATACACTGCCAGTGAAGGATGAGACTGATCCAAGGTGACACAGACTATGGCCGGTAGTGGTCCGGAGTCCAGAGCTCTGACTCAGGAACACTTGTCATAGAGCACTACTCTACTCTCAAGAGGACCTGATTTCTTTATGTTCCAATGGTCAGTTAAAACAGCAACAACTAATATCTGGATAGTACTTTTGTACAATTGATATAATACTTTCCATTTTCTGTTGACCATATTTCAGATTGAACATACTTGATTTCAAATTTCCTGAGTGTCCGCAAAGAAAAATTAAAATGAGTCCATGAATTGTTCAAATATGTATTATTGTATGTTATTAATATAAATAAATATACATCCTGTATTATAGAGTTATAGTTTATGTTAATGCTCTATGTTGAGAGAGACAGAGTTATAATTTTGTTGAGGCAGAGTGTGAATATCGGACACCAGTGCTCTGAAAGATGTGCTTTCGCTAGTGAATGAGGCTGGGCTCTCCCAGTGCCTGCGCACAGCAGAGATGCGGTCTTTGGGTAGATTGTATGTAGAGATTATGCACAAGTGATCAAAATGATTAAGTGACCAGAAAAACAAAACTACTTTTGATTTATAAATAAAAGGAACAATTCAAAGAAAGCCAACTGCTGGTGCTAGATTTAAAAATGTCTAAGAAAGTTTTATTGATATGATCACTTCATAAATCATATACATGTCTAACCACTATGCTGTACACCTGAAAGTAATATAATACTGAATGTCAACTGTAATTACAATTTTTAAATAAAAAACTAAGTATAAGCAAGTGACAGTTTCAAGTCAGAAAATACATGTTTGAAAGCCTAAACTTAAATATATTCGTGGAAAATTTTTATAATACACCTTTAGAGAATATTAAGGGCCAAAATACTGCTACATTTAATCCTCATAACAAAGCTATGAAATAAGTTAACAATATAATAATAATAATAATATTGTTATTATTCCTATTATGTAAATAAGGAGACTAAAATAGGAAGAAAATAAGAAACTAAGTCAAGACAATGCAAACAAGATACATGATCCTCTATAGTCCCCCAAAATGAGAGCTCTGCAGAAGAGAAAACAGTTCCTATGAAGTCAGTTCTCCAAACAAATTTAATTTTGTTTTGGTTTTTTAAGATTCAGATGGCAATTTGGGGTCTTAGAGATCTCACAGACATTGTCATTGTTGGTGTTAGAATCATGTTGACAAATGGTTTCTCAAACTCTCCCAGCCTTTAGGGACCTTAAAATTGACTAGTCCAACTCCTTCAAGGTTTTGATGAGAAATGAAGCTCCAGAGAGGCTGGCGTGTTTCCCAAGTTGGTGGCAGCACAGCTCTTCCCTCCAGCTCCCTGCGTTATCCCTACAGCCCATGATCCTCCTGCTACAGATGTCCCCTCTGCCCTCAGCTTCTGCCCTGCCAATTCTCACTTGCTCATACACACCCCTTGACATCTTGATCATCTCCTTGCCAGTAGTTCCCTCTTTAGTTCTGCAAGTCACCTAAAAACCTGCTCAGAATCTCTTACCATATGGATTCTCATTGTTCATCCTAAGAACTAGAACCCATCCTCCAAGATGTAATAAAATAGTCATTAAGAGTGAATTTTCTTGGGCTAACTACCTGGATTCAGATACTGGTTTTAGCACATAAACTCTATAAAAGGAGCTGATTGCTTGATTCAGACAATTTACTTTAACTTATTTATGTTTTATGGAGGCTGATAAAGGTACCTACTATGTGGGATTTTTGTCAGGACTTAGTTGATAAGGTAAGAACTTAGAATGGTGCCAGGCATTTGGTAAGAACTCAGTGATTACTAACAATTCTCATTATCCACTTTCAGAACAACTGAAAAACTCACTCCAAAGATCCATTACCAGACTCTCAGGCCAAACTGCCTGAGTTCCAATCCTGTGAATGAACCTCTCTGAACACGGTGAGAACTGATATAAATTAAGCAATATGTATGTTTGACAACAATGAGAACTATCATTATCGCTGTCAATACTCTTAGTTCGTGCACTCGCATTTCTTACTTGCAATCATTCGCTCATTTCTATCGCTGTTACCCACTATTACCCCACCTTAGCAATCAGTCTTACTCCTCAGCTAAGACCCTGGGGAGCCCAGGTCTTCATCTTCACAGCCAGGAGCCCTTTCACAGGCCTCATCAGCTATGGCTTGAAACTAGGAAGACCCTTGTAAAGCTACTGAAAGGAAGGGCTAGTCCCCATTCTTGCTACTACAACTCCATCTGCAGATATGTCCTCTGCATCACAAATGGTAACCCTGAGAGCATGTTACTATCACACCTTGAAATTTAATTCTATGATTATTACTCCAAAACAAACAAATAAACAGACAAACAAAAATCAGTCCACTCAGTACTGCATGTTTACACAGCACCCTTTCCTAAACTCACTAGGCCTACCAAACTCATCTTCCCACTCCACCAAAACACCTCCATTACCTTCCAACTGCAAAGAGTAACTAAGAAATCTAGTAATTAGTGAATGGCAGTGACATTTTGAATAATGAGAATAATATCTGGCTTTCTTTTCTTGGCTGAATAAAAGGCAAAGGGTCCAAGACTAGGTATAGCATCTTCTTTCAGTTTCAGGTTATTCCATTGGTATTGCTGGCTTCTAAGCACTTCCTACTTGTACAGTAAAGAAATGGAGGTAAATGGAATGGAAAAAGTACAATAAAATAAAATTTAAAAATAAATTGCTTGTGGATTACAAGAATAAAGTAAAATACAAAAATGACAGTGGTTGTCTAAATAAACATTAGTGAGAGAAGACCCATAAATCTTTATCTTCACATTTTGAAGCAAAGCAAGGTAGCTTCCCATAATATTGGTATTTTTAAGATATTACTCTCCTTTTTCTTCATAGTTTTGTATAGTGTTGATATTTGCAGTAGACTAGAAGTTCTTAAAGCACACTACTTATATTTAGCTTTCAGGGGAAAGTGTGCTTTATAAAAATGTGTTCTAGAGGTAAAGAGAAAAGGGAAAGTCCTTCCAAAATAACTAAAAATGCTGTTTTGAATAAACCACAATCCTGCTTTTGTGATCAACAGCAACATGAAGCTCTACTGCTGCCCACAGATGACTTCAGAAACATGGTTGAATAATTCTTAAGTGTGCCTATACCCCAGTGGCACCTGCAGTTCTAATTTTCAGCTGACAGCTTCTTAACTCTGCAACACAACCTCACAGGTATGTTACCAGAACAATCACTGAACTATGGGATTCCCAACAGCTATGCTGTCTACTGAAGGAAACCATCACTCAGTAAAAATTAACGTGCTTCCTTGGTTGGTACATCATTCAAAATTCCTTCATTCTCCACAAAATACCTTTTGGATAATTAACTGGTGACTAAGTCCAATAGGTTATACAAACACTTTGTTTAACACTGCTATAATAAAACAGCTGCTTAAGTTCTCAGGCTTCACAGAGTGCCAAAGACATGATCCATCCAAGTAAAAGCTCACAATTACATTCTCAATTTTCTTCCAGGAATCATAATTATATTTGTTTTAACAAGAAAATATATTCAGAAGAAGAGCTAAAAATTTGAAAATGATCTCAATATTAAAAAAATAAAGAAGACATAAACCATTTGATAAAGTTAAAAACCGGAGTACATACATCAGAATGTTAATGTTGTATCAAAGCATCAATCAAAAAGGTCACTGAAAATGTGTGTGTGTGTGTGTGTGTGTGTGTGTGTGTGTGTCTTTATGGAGAGATTAAATATGGCAAAATGTTGACAACCGGTGAATATAGGTAAAGGATATACATGAGTGATGATTGTACTAATCTTTCAACTTCTCAAGTATTTAAAAATACCTTCAATTAGAATAAGCAGATACACATAAAAATATTTACAGTGAATATCTATGGTGGTCAAGTTGAAATTTTAATGCCTCCTTTTTTAAGCATCTATAATTTTTCTATAATAAATAGGTACTATTTAATCTGACTTGAAAAAATAGATTTTTTATAAGACAGTTTTCTCTTTAGTAGCCATGAACTGTTAGTTTTGATTCTCTCATTAACGACTTGATGTCATTCTTCAATTCAATTTTTTCAGTCCCGACTCTGCTGCGGACAAAGCAGACCTTTGAGACACGGAGTGAAACAACACTGAGGCAGCCCCTCTTTTCTGGCATTACCTTACTTTCCTGCACAGAAGCAGAGCACAGTAAGTGAGGATACATGGTCTCTTTAAGCACTCTTCCATCAGCAGGGTGTATGCTTCTTGAAAGCCCACTGCGTGGCAAAAAATAAATAGTAAAGTTTAGAACTTTTGGTTTCTTTATTTGTTTTTTTTTTCCTTCCCACTTTCAAAAGCCCGATGCTACCATTCAACTTTCTAAACTCTAGTTAGAAATTGTTGGGTTAATAATTACAAGTGACTTTTTGAAAACCTAGCACCAGCTGTACAAGTTATACATGGTTAATCTCATTCCTTCATCCCCTGCTGTTTCATACAAAGGCAGAAGCCTACCAAGCTCAGAGTAAATCTTCTAGTGCCAAAGTTGTTTTGTTCTGGTTTTTGATCATGGGCGGCATGCAGGGATTTTTCCATAATAAACCTCCCAAAGTTCATTTCCAACCTGAATGTTTTGTATGCCGCTCCCATCTGAGCCCACCTGTTCAGCAGCTGATAGATGTAACTGTGACCATCTTCGGTCCAGATGATGATTCTGTGAGCAGCCAGCACCTCTCCACCAGCGAAGAGCTGCCCACTTCTACTGACCTCCATCCGCAGAAGGGAAAAATCACAATAATCATAAACCTAAAGCACAAAATAAATGATACACGTGAACAAAAGCTGCCGATCTAATTTGCCACTGAGATGGGAGATAAATTGTGCTCGCTGAGACTATTTAGATGGTAGTGTTAATGCAACAGCACATTAAGTATTAATGACAGCCCACACTGTACTCATGTATCAAGATATCTTACAAGTACTTATTTTTTTCTTATTTATCCTAAGGTAGGTTTTGGTTAGTTAACTGTTTGGCTAACATGTCCATTAAGCACAGAGACTAGAAATCCCCAAATCTCTGTACAATTTTATTCTGTCCACATGGATAGTCCAACTTTAACATTTGAAAATTTATTGCACAAAAAGTTTAAATAGTATAAATTCTTTGCTAGATCATATACTTAGTATTTTTTTTGTTTAAAATATATCAGTATGTAAGACAATATAATGTCATTAACTGAGCCAGGTATATGAAACATTAGAAGATGCTATCATGTGATGGTAACTTAACTTTTTTAGAAAGATCTTCTTGGAAACATCAGTGAGTATATTTACAAAACAGAAATGTGTATTTCCTAAAAGCAAGTGTTGTGACAAAGCAGAAAACAAATCTATAAATAAGACCAATTTATGTAGGTGAAAAGTATTAGTTTTCTTTTTAATTCAGGACAAGCATCAACTTTTGGAAATAATCTAGAGATAAATGCTAATTATAAATATGGTCATTATTAATAATATGAGCATTTCCTATTACAACTATAATCTCCTGAGAAGCAAAACAGCTAAATGTGAGGAGTGAAAAATTAACAAAAGTCAGTCATAAAAGCTAGGTCATCCATGCTCTGGTAATGATATTATATAGAGTTTGTGTCACATTTTAAATCATAGTCTCATAACTGTTGTACTAAAGAAGAAAAATTTAAAAATTACATTTGTATATCTCTGGTATTTATTAGGTTCTTTTACAATACCTTCCAACATTTAGAAAATACCACCAATAGAAGTCTCTCCGTGTATGTGCAAAATCGTATTGTCCGACAGTTCAGGGAGTCAAGAAATTTGGATTCCTTTTCATAGACATCTTGCTTTTCCTTCAAAAGGAACGAAAAACATTTTAATACTAGTTCCAGGTAATTTATATGTGACTATATCAGAAGAGTTGCTTCTCTGAACACCTGACCTAGATCACACCATTATTACAAAATGAAAAGTACCTGTTTCCTTTATAATTTTCTGAAGAAGTTAACTTTGCAAAAAACACCACTAGCAGGAAACCCACTTGGACTCAAGGATTCATTATGTAAATACAATCATTCAACAACCGTGGGAGGCTAGGCTGGGTGTTGAGAGTGTTGTTACTGACATTCAGACTTGGCAGAAAGACATACCAGAAAAAGAAAGAAAAAAAAAAAGAAAAGAAAAAACCCCTGCAGTCTCTTAATTGCTATAATAGAAAATATACAAAGCGCTTTGAAAAAGTAGAAGAGTGGTCATCACAGAATACTGTATTGCCAATCAGTTTCCGAAAATGCTGGGGGTGTGTTTCTTGAGTTCAGGATGCCAGTACAATTTCTGAGCTTCCTCAATCAAGATGTTCCTAAGGAGAGCCCAGAGCACAATGGGACAGCCAAAACGATTTGTTACCAGCACAAAAAATACTATGTTCTTTTGTCCATCACCTCAACTTGTAGCCTAAAGTCAGGCAGCAGGAGAATATACTAGACTCCCAGTGTATGTGACCTCCAGCTGTTCATAATCATCTCCCAGCCACTGCTCACACACCCAGAAAAAAGAGGGTCTTTTGCTGTAAGGGTCAAAAATATATCTATCTATGATTTTTATTGTTAATTAAAATGTAATCAGTATGTGTGGTGTAGATAAAAAGAGTTGTGTATGCATGGAGAAAAGGATGGAAGAACATAATCCAGCTGTTACCAGTGCCCACCCCTGGCACTTGGAGCAGGAAGAGGGATGGGGCAAGTACATGAGGGTAAAATGTATACATACTTGTCTATACTATTTTAACTTCTAAAATAAGCATGTACTACGCCTGTAAGTGTAAAAACCTTTTAATAAACATGGAGGATATAAAGGAATTTCACAAGCCAACCTGAATGCTGTTGATAGATGAAGAGAGGTCCCACACTTTAAGCTCACCAGCCACTGATACCACCAGGAGAGCATCTTCTGTAAAAACAGCAAAGGTTGCACATAAGCTGACCACTGCTGTACCCTTTTGATGTAAAGATTGTGTCGTTGTCACTTAAGGATTATGCACGGCTATGCAGATGAAATATAGTCAGCTTTGCTGTTTCTTTAAATAAACATTTTAGATCAGGTTTTGAATTTGTGTTAACATTTCAAAGTGGCCCCCATGTGAAAGAAGAGCAGTACTAAAAGCTCTCATGTTGCCGACAGCATCAGTCGGCAATACGACACCTTCCTGTTTCAGAAACCTGTGTGGGGCCAGCCTTCCTCTTCCTATGCAGTTGCTCACTACAGACACCAAGTTCCCTCCATTAGCACATCTGGAAGATACAGCAGGATGAAAGTTACACAAGTCCTGCTCGTCCACAAGAAACCCATTTTTGTCACTTTTAAAAATATACCAAGCAAAACTGGGTGGTGGAAACATAGGTGCTTCTCTTTCCTCATCATCTTAACCTCTTGTTCACTTTCCAACAACCTGAACCACCCATCTGGGTGTTTCCAGTTTTTCTTGATCTGGCTTAGGAAGCTATCCCCACTAACGAGGAAATATAAAGGGGTACTCTACCCTCTTGCCCAATAACTTAACAAATAGTTCAAAAGTCATATTTTTACATGTAGTCTCTCAGTATTATGTATGACCCATTACCTTGAATTCTCATGGAGTGAACAATGCACATGCAGTTGATCCAATCGGGAGACTGAGATGATGTGAAGGTGTGAACAAGAGCCAAGGTTTTGGCATCAATTATAACAATGTCTTGATATTCTCCGCAGCACAGAAGCCAGCCTTCTCCTGTCATCCGGAAGGGGCAGTGGTAATACTATGCAAATGGAATTCAAGCAAAAAATTCATTATCACTGGCAATTCACATAATTTTGGCTGTGGTGAAAACTTCTCTGAATTTAAATTTTATCATCTATTCAGTGAAGGGATTAGTATGAATAGCAACTAAATTTTATTTAGTTAAGTTTTTCCATACTTCTAAAGTTATCAGTTTAGCACTTCTGCCTCACTTATACTTCATAATTTTTTTTAGAGAAAGGGGGCTCACTTGTGAAGAAGGAGTATTATTCTGAATACCAGGTTCTTTATTCTAACAACCTGGTTACGTTGTATGTTAAGAAGAAATAGAAGTGTTTGAAGAGTATTTGAGGAGCTCTGGTCCTGAATGAGTTTTGAGAATGTCCTCCTTTAAAGATGAAGTGATATGGTCTACCCTTGCAACTCCCTCTCTGCGTAGGGTCTGGGCCCCAGAAGACCGTCTGTGTGTATCCCAGTGCAGGCCGTCAATGCTCAGAGCAATCGCTGAAACAGGAAAACCTGTCAGCACCACTGCGACCCTGTGGCTACTGTACATATACGCTGGGAGTCCATCTACCAAAGGCCAAAATCGGTTTTACATTTTTGGAAATGATTACAAAGGTTATGACTATGCCTCTTGATCTCTTCATGAATAACTAATTCAGAAAAGAAGAATCTATCCACCCCCAAAATATTAAAATTGGAGACAAGGAAAAGAACACATTTTCCTTTATAAAATAGCACATCGCTAAAATGGGATCTTTCTATGTTTGTATCTGTGTCTCTCTGTGTGTGTTTTGTGAGTGTACCTAAGGAAAAATAAGAAAATTATCATTCAAATGTATCTATATTGAAATCTACAAAAATAATAGAAAGAATTGGCT